GGCAAGAGAACATTGTAGCATTTTTCACCCTCAAACAAACTTACAATTTCAGACAGTTAAGTTGAAATACCTTTTGGCTAGCATACTTTAACCACTTCTATTCTAATGGCCATACTGGTGATTCTCAGATGCAAAAAACAGAATGGATTACACAGTTATTGTACTATGAAATAAGCCTGCTTCCAAGAAGGTTTGAGCAACTAGACTTGTTGCTATAAAAACAAAATCCGGATGACTTCTGAAACTATCCTAGATCGTATCAAATCATTAATTACATAATCCTGCTAACCCAGTAGTCCACATACCAAGAATGGACCTCTGGTGGGCAACTGTCTTAAAAAGTTTAGCTCCACCTTCAATTGAACATACCTGACCCAGTTTATAAAGGTCCAGTCAAGTTAAAATGATGTTGCTTAGATGTTAGTATCAGTATGTTTGTCTTCAAGGACATCTATAAGCTAGTATGATACAAAACAATGACAAACTTCAGGTTTAGAAGTTATAAAACCAATTTAAACATGTAAAACGTAGTTTGACACTTTTTTTTGATTTCTCCAGGTTACAATGTCCTGAATTTTCATTGCCAATATTAAGCCAATTGTTATCGTTTGTTTTGGTTCAATTTGAAATTTCCCCACCCAACGCATAGCCCGGAGGATCAGAGTGAGTGCTCTGACCCCACTCCACCCCCGATCCTAAATGTTTGTTTTTTCACGTCATATTATGTTTCTTATCACATATTGACCAATCAAATGCTCTCTAGTATCCGATATGCCCTGCCCCCTTTAAGACACTTCTCATTTGCTTTTCATTTGATACGCTTGATCTCAAGCACTTTCACTTGCAGAGCTGTGAGAAAACAAAACGCTATTGGTTGTTTTTTTGTTTGTTTTTTTTAAAGGAGGGGGTACTCTACACAGAAAAAAAAAATTATTCAGCAGAATTGTTGCAAACAATTTATATGGGTTGAACGTAAACAAACAAATTAAGTTTAGTTATGCTAAACTTTATTTGTTTGTTCAAATTCAGCCAAAATAAATTGTTTACAACCCCTTAAAAACAGTAAATCCAAAAAATCATCTTTGAATTTTTTTTTCAGTGTATGTCCTGCCTTCTCTTCATTTTTCAGTTGAGATTACATCGAACATTGAATAAAAATGCACATTTAAAAGCACCTTACGGGGTATTTAAAATCTTACTAGTCATACTAGAAGCACCGCAGGCATGTGTTTTGGGGCATGTTGGAGAGTAAACTCTACAGGACATTAATCTCTCTCCAACCAACCCCTATTCTACAGTGTTGAAGAACACTACTAAAAACAAATCAAATGCCACCTCCAAAGCCAAGGAAATTATTCAAACAAACACAAAAATCTCCAAACTCAGCCTCCTCCATCATAGATCTCCCCTTGCTGCTCTCCTGTTATTGAAAATGCACGCCGTAACCAAGATCCTCCCTCCTTTTGAAAATTCATGAGTGTTTGAAAGATTAAACGTGACCTTTTGTTGAGATTTTCCTGACAAACGCAGCACATATGGATTGCATGGCAAACCTCTTAGGGGAAAAAACACAAACACCTGTTCACACATATGCATGAACACTACACAGCAAAAAAAAAAAAAAAACATGAAGCTTCTTATTCATGAACTGAAAAGCACGAACAAGCGGGAAAGGGCTGCCGTTCCATGTTACACCCAAGACAAATGACAAGAGGATTCCATCTTCCTAACAAGCAACTTCTGTTCCAGCTCCATTCCCGATCCCTGAGGATGAGAAGGCCTGGTCCTCTCTCTCTATCTCTCATAAATACTCTGCAGCAACCAGGTTCATGACAAGCTTTCACAATAACATGACAGAACATTTCTCCGGGGACACTGCTGATGCATTCTGGGAAATGTATGCCTTGCAGTTACAGTATGCGATGGTTGTGAACATTGCAATGTGTCAGCTTTAACAGATATCCTGTGAGTAATGTTCTATTGATGAACATACTTATGTCATATTCAGTCGTGCCTCTAAAAAAAAAAAACACAAAACATAAAGAATCGCATCCCACGGTGCAAATTCACATCACGGTTCTGCTTCTGATGTGTGCAGATGTCAAAAAGCATACTGTGAGAGTCAGTGTAACGATACTGGAGGATAAATTAAACATTGCTTATGTTCAGACGGAACGCGCTGCCTTTATTCATAACTCATGCCATCAGAGAACCTCTCTGGAGACTTCAAAAGCTACTCGAACTCATTACCATGTGCGCCTCTATCACTGAATCGGGCACAGTTACATCTCCATCTACTGCCGCCCAGGGCTACATTTCCGTTCTGTGTCTCGCATCAACTTTATGAAGTAAAAAAAAAAGAGCCCACGTTACATTAAAGGAAAATGACATTTAACGTTCTGACCACAGGCGATGTGGCGAACGCTGTAATAGTTTGGGTTTGTTTATGGTTTTCAATAACAACTTCTTTCTGACAGGTGCGGAGCTTTTCTGAGCGCGGATGTGAAACAGTAGATGATGTCAGCGCTCGAGGCGGTGTAAGTGAACATGACAGATGATTGGATATTTTAATGACACGATTTCATTTGCATATTAATGAATTCCCTCAATGAACCAACAGAGTGATATCTCCGGATACATCTTACGCAACGCCCTCTTAATGCTGGCAGAAGAACTTATTAATTATGAATGTTAGGCCAGTTTGAGCTGATTTCCATAGTTTAAAGAAAGGAGGAGGATCAAATCCTGAGGGCTAATTTGCTAATAGACTTGCAAATAGTTTACCATAAGGGATGATAGAATCGGGAGGTCAGATGTTGCTTAGCAGCAAACACCAGAGTGAGAAAGAACATTCTGGATTGATTAACTCACAAAACTTGCTGCAGAGTCTTGGTATCTTTACTTTTTAACACTTTAACACCCTTCGATATCAAATAAATAAATGCTACGTTCATTTAAATATCAGAAAAGCAAACATATAGATAGATAGATAGATAGATAGATAGATAGATAGATAGATAGATAGATAGATAGATAGATAGATAGATAGATAGATAGATAGGTAGATAGGTAGATAGATAGATAGATAGATAGATAGATAGATAGATAGATAGATAGATAGATAGATAGATAGATAGATAGATAGATAGATAGATAGATAGATAGAACCTAAATAAATCATACAGATAATCTTGATTTACATAACGTGTGATTCTGTGACCCCAGCAAAAACTCAAGCAGCCAATATTGCCAGATACACAAAACAGATCTCAAAAGTGGCCCTTAGGGGTGCCTTAGGTAATAACAGCACTCCTGCTTTATAACAAGACCATCAACTTCAAATTGCCCACCTAAGCATCAGGTTTCTTTTTAATTGCTTTGCCTCAAATTGCATATACCATTCATAGCGTCACAACATAGACAAAAATAAGAAAACTGGCAATTAATGAAAAGCTAATTGGGCACTTGTTTATAAACATCCAATTAATCTATCTTGGTTGAACATCTTAATGATAGTTTTTGTATTCAGAATGGCTGTGCCCCGTCCACCTCTTTACTAAGCATCAGTGACTCTTAACATAAGATAATTGCTGCCTTACTTCTGCTTTCAGTTCTGAAAATATTACATATTAATATTTAATCAAAAAATGCATCGCTCTTTTAAAATGATACCAACCGTTTGATTTTGCAGTCACATTTTGCAAAGAAATGAAAAGAAAAGATCCTGTTAAAAATATGGTAAATAAAATATGTCAGCTGTGGCCAGAAGCTAAAAAAATACTGACAATGCCTCAGCTATTATTACATACTTTACAGTTCAAAACAAATCTATATCAATAGTAACAGATACAGCTAAATATAACAGCCACAACTTAAATTTTATTTTAACTAAAATATATAATATACACTTTCATACATACATACATACATACATACTACTACTACTACTACCAATAATAATAATAATAATAATAATAATAATATACATGTATAATAATAATAATAATAATAATAATAATAATAATAATAATAACGATAATAACAACAACAGCAATAATAAAATACTACTACTAATAATAATAATAATAATAATATGTATTATTATTATTATTATTATTATTATTATTATTATTATTATTATTACATGTTGTTGTTTAGTTCTGTTGTTATAGAAAGCTAACATATGTGGTAAATAAAATCTGATTTTCCATGTTTAATATTTATCATTGAGCAAAATATGACCAATACATAGAACCTTAAAATAATACAATAATAGTGTAAATAGCCTAAAGTGTAATAAAACGCCATTATAAAGATGACTGATCACCCTAAAATATGAAACAAGTAAAAAATGTAGTGCTTAAAGGTTCTGAAAGTGATATCTTGCAGTAAAGCAGTACATTAATCCATGTATAGCTACACTTCGTAAATATAACTAATGCAAGTTATAAATCAAAATGTTGCACGATTTTCATTCAAGAATAAGCGCGCAGAATCAAATGGAAAGGCGCCTCTCTTGCCTGTTGCGCTGCGCATCGCGTGGCACGCTTGGCATTCTCACTCCAATAAACACACGCTTTACGCAGACCGAAATGTTGAAGGCTTCCAGTTGAGGCTGCTAATGTCATTTCTCATTTTACAGACATTTACAAAATACAGTGAGCGCCACACATTTCCCCGTGCACTGGCACTCGCTTCTGTTTAAAGCATCTTTGTCAATTCGGGCGTTTGGTTTAGTGATGAACCTGAAGCGCATACTTGTGCAAGCGTGCACAGAGTTGTACGAGAATTCGCACCTATTGCACATGCTTCATCCCAAAGAGCTTCCGATAATGCAACAATCGTGATCGGCATTAAAAAACAACATTATACACAGTCATAACAGAACATCACCCAAAGAATGCGTATACATACGGAGTGCGCGAACTCTCCAAGAGAGCTTAATAGGGGAAAGTACTGTATGATGTTAAGGCTCTCGCAAACAGTTAAGTTGTTCTTACCTCTAGCCATCGCATATGGCAGCAGGAGGATCAGGACCGCGAGGAAGCCAAAGCAGGAGTATCGTCCCTTCTTCCCAAAGCGTCCCATCATCTCTGCGCTTCTCTCCTGCGTCCCCAACTAAACCGGGGAGCCGCTCGCGTGTGCCGCTCTCATGCATGTGCCGTGCGTTCCCTTGGCTTCAGTAACAGGTCCCTCCCGTAGCGATAAACCCCGAAGTTCTGCGCGAATCTCTCTCGTCCGCGTGCTGAAGTGAGTGTCTCGCGCTTCCGTGAGACTGGAATAATGAAGCCGGTGCGCGCTGGCCAATAGCGGAGGGTGATTGAGGGCGGAGGGAGCGCAGCGGCTGTCCTTCACCCTGCTGCTCGGATGTGCCGCGAAGTGACCAGATGCGCCTGAGTAAGAGATGATACATGAGCATACATGTCAGATGTCGCCTAAATTCGAGATGACATATGAACAGCTGGTTGCGTTACACTGATTTCATCACAGATCGTGTCGGGCTCCTGGGGGCCACTGGGCTGAGAGCTGAAGCGACGGCGCGTCTCTCGTGCGTAATTTGCTCGGAAGAATAATGGATGTTTAATTAAGCAATATTTCGCACGAGCTAGAGTGTTGTCGTAGTTATGTCTGTAAACAAGTAGGGCCTAATTGGTCGAGCCATTTGCATCGCAGACAATAATTACGCAGTTCATAAATTTTGTTTCCACGGATTAAATAAAAAAAAGACAAGAGAAATGTGTAAAATAAGCCATACAGGCAAGCTGTGTTGTCCCACTGAATAAAAAAGCAAGTGTGGAATCACTGCGTGAGTGGAGCGGACTCAGCGATTTCCCGCACTCTGCAATCAATGGGCAGTTCATTCCAGTCCAAGTTTTGAATTTTACGCATTCCGCGCGCTAACACACGCGATCATTAGAAAACATGTCATTCTAAACATGAAATATAAATAAAACACACGCAATTATATAAATTTTATATTAATATTTGCATGTTCTTTTATTTTATATATAAAAAAACAACAGTCTCATGCCTTGGTAATATGGCTGTTAATTAATGAAGGGCTATTAGAGTTTGAGGTCACTTTACATTACAGCAATGATGTTAATGTGTGCATAATTAACCACAAGCACTTTAATTATATTAATGAAAACAATGGCAATTATAATCAGCTTACAATCACAAGTTGTTGAGCTGTTTTTAAATGTTATTACTATTCAATTGGAAGGGAATATTCAAGACTGGGGCACCCAGTGTAAAAGCTTTAGAATTATCACTTGAATAAAAGAATGAACAAACAAATACAATTAATGACATTAAATTAAATAAATAAATAAATCAGTATTCAAAATAGTGTCATCATATTGTTCAAAGCTTATCCTAGGTAAAATTATTTAATTAAATGCTCTCAAATTATTTTATACCACTTTTTAATATTAATTTTTCCACACTTTAAACTGCCTCTTTTTACAATATACCCATATATATCCCAGGGAATCCATGCTTTAGTAAAACCTGACAGAAGTTATTTTATTTATTTATTTATTCACTCATTCGTTTATTTATTTATTTATTTATTTATCTATTTATTCACTCGTTCATCCATTCATCCATTCATCTATTCATTCATTCATTCATTCATTCATTTATTTATTTATTTATTTATTTATTTATTTATTTATTTATTTATTTATTTATTTATTCACTCATTCATCCATCCATCCATTCACTCATTCACTCATTCACTCATTAATTAATTAATTCATTAATTCATTCATTCATTCATTCATTCAATTATTCATTCATCATTTCATAATAGAAAAAGACAAGTACAAGCTGTAAGCAAATCTGACCCCAACTGTGCAACATGTTCAGTAAAACATGCTACCCATCTGTGATTCCTCTGTTGCCTTTAATTTAGCAATTTACATAAATGAAAATAACGTAAACATCTCCAATATGTTATTCGAGCGTAATTGCAAATGTCTGTGCCATAAACCCTAATCTCTGCGGCTTTTCAGCAGTGATTATTTAGTCCACTTGCATTTGATTTTTGATCTGGTCATCCATAATTATTTAGACCCCAAATATAAAGCTGACATTTAATTATAAAAGTGCAGCTGATCCTTGCTTATAAACTGGCTGGAACTCATTTCCCAGTGAGATTCCTCCACTCACTTAATCAGGATGGTCAACAAAATTTCTTATCCATACATGACTGTGCATTTCAAATTAGGGGTTACACATTTTCAGTTTGAGGAACTGCTTCTCAAAAGAACTTAAATCATTTCAAATAATAAGGTTGAGCTACAAATAATCCATATGCATAGTGGAAATTGAGTGAGAGAAAGGTTTGTGCTTTTAATTTTATTTATGACATGAAAATAACATTTAGCTTGGCATTTTAGGTTGGTATTAGTATGACATATCTGTGATCAAAGCTCATTTGAGTTCATTGTGTTTTGTTTCTTAAGATTACTTTATCTTAGCATTTTAAAGAGCCCATATTATGGGTTTTTGAAAATGCCCTTCCATGTAGTGTGTAACACAGCTCTAAGTGAAATGAAAAATCCAGCTAAGGATTGTAAGTGTTCAGTGTTTTAAACTGTTGATTGATCAATAAAAGAGTCGACTCATAGTGCTTCAAACAAGTCGTCTTGATAACGAGTCATTAGGTGTTTCGCCATGACGTACTAACGAAACCAAGTTATTCACATGCATGCGCAAACCTGGGAGATTTGAAACCTGCGGCCCCGCCCTTTACACAGAAACACACACACAAACATGCCGGTCGATTGAATTCAAACTGCAGACAGATATTATTGCGTGCAAAGCCACAATAAAAACGCGACGCGTGCCGCTTTGTTTACGTTCCCGTGGAGGAGGGTAATGTGTGTGTGTGTGTGTGTGTGCGCATGCGCGCGCTCGTTGTTGTCCGGAGGAGGGTTATGTGTGTGTGTGTGTGCGCGATGTCGTCTGAAGGAGGGTTCTGTGTGTGTGTGTGGACGCGTGTGCGAGGACGAGGGCAATATGTGTGTGTGTGTCTGTGAAAAGAGCAGAATGTGACAAGCTAGGAGATCTCCTTGGCAGTTCTTGGGAGTTTTTGCTCAATAAAATAGTTAGTCGTCTGTATTTTCAAGTCCATCGTCTGTATTTACATTCATCCACTGGCAGCTAAACTCCACGCCTTACACTATCGAGCATGTATGCACTGTGACTACTTCTATGTTGTTGATTAGCTGCTGGGCATTTCACTCTGTCTGTCGCATAAGGCAGTCAGTGTCGACCAATCGCAACAGACTGTCATCGGTCCAATCTTCGCAGATTAGCTTCGCGCTAAGGAGGGGTTTGGGAACAAATGAATCACTGAACGATTCATATGGGAGTCGGTGGGATAATTAGGTAAAAAATAAATGCAGATTATAGGACCATGAAAGTGTTTTTTGACCTTGCATGCATATTAGACTGTTGTTGGAGACTCTTACAACCAAAATTTGACCCTATTTCATGTATAATATGGGCTCTTTAAAACACATCACTGATTGTTACTATCATAACTAATGAAAAGCATCAAGTGTATAGGAAAAAGATGGATAAAGTTTAAATGAGATGCTGAGGTCACACTTTATTTTGATGGTCCATTTGTTGAATTTAATTTACATTGCATCTACATGCGGGCGAGGCAGTGGCGCAGTAGGTAGTGCTGTCGGCTCACAGTTGCTGGGTCGCTGAAGGTTGCTGGAAGGTTGGGAAGGTCACAAGAAGCTTGCTGGGTCGCTAGTTCGAACCTCGGCTTAGTTGGCATTTCTGTGTGGAGTTTGCATGTTCTCCCTGCCTTCGCCTGGGTTTCCTCCGGGTGCTTCGGTTTCCCCCACAGTCCAAAGACATGCGGTACAGGTGAATTGGGTAGGCTAAATTGTCCATAGTGTATGAGTGTGTGTGAATGTGTGTGTGGATGTTTCCCAGAGATGGGTTGCGGCTGGAAGGGCATCCGCTGCATAAAAACTTGCTGGATAAGTTGGTGGTTCATTCCACTGTGGCGACCCCGGATTAATAAAGGGACAAAGCCGACAAGAAAATGAATGAATGAATAATTGCATCTACATGCCAGCTAATACTCATTAGATTATAAGTGGACTGTAAGGTTGGGTTAGGGCTAGTGTAAGTTGACATGTACTTGGAAAGTTTTTTATAGTCAGTTAAACATCTGTTGAAGAAGCAGTATCAACAGATATTAAGCAGACAGTCTATTTATACTCAAATAAATCGTTACAGATGCTTATAGTGTAAATTAATGAGCAGATTAACAAGATTTACACAGTTTTTCAGTGGCGAAATATTGCTTAAATATGTTTATTAAGGATCCAACTTTCTTGTGATAAAGAAATGGTCAGAATCCAGTAAGGATGCTGAAACTATACAAGCACACAAGTCAGGTCATGATATTTAAAGTCATGTAGATTAAAGGGCCACAGTTGACCCCTAAGTCCATCCAGGAGAGACTTAAGAAATATTAATACAGTTATAAGAATATATTTTCTTTATTATTTTTTGAGAAAACATTTATTACTATTATTATTATTATTTTATTTTTTTATACAACTATATCGCTCGATATATAATTGATAATAAATAGTACTGTATCAATCAATAGTTATTTAGCATTTAAAAAATATTTTAATATTATAATGACATTTATCATTATTATAAATATATTATGCATAATTGTTATCATTCATGATATGTATTATATTGGAATTATATTGTTCCCAATGAAATACAACATTTATGTGGCAAAATATCATTAAAAAGAGTTCAAAAAGTGTCCATAATAAGCCTTTAGATGGTCAGAATCCAGTAATGGTGCTGATTAAGCATAACTCCCTACAGCAATGAAGTCAAGCTGATTTTCAAAGTGATGAAGACTAAAGGGCCACGGATGGACCCCGAGTTGAGTTTACAGTCCATCTGGGAGACACAACTTAAAGAAAACGACAGAGAAAGTCTATTGGCACACACTGCTGGCCGCTCTAATAACACCCTCAGAGAAAAAGCTTCAACACAATAGACCTAAAGCCCTTGTTAATATGTAATTTGTCCCACTGTGTCTTGATTCCTAAGTGTGTGCGTGTTTGTGTAAGTGTGTGTTTGATTTGACCTTGCCTGATGGGGTTAAATGTTTAAACAGGCTTTGCGCAACAGACACAATGATGCTTTAAATATCTCTGAGCTCTATAAAAGTGACACGTTGGCCTCTTTCCCTCAGGACAAGCGACAAAAAAGTCACAGTTGTCCTTTTAATAGGCAGTGTCTACAGAGGACTCCATCAGGGGGAATGAGGCTGAATATTTGTATGGTCCATTAGCTGTCCTCTAAAAATGAGGTAGTGGAAAGCAAACATCAAGAGCAGGCACTCACACTATTATGGGACGTCTGCTGTTGCTATGGTTTCGTGGGTTATTTCCAAAGGGTTGAAATGGACCAGGGAAGGT